AAACAAAAACCTTATTGTACGCATTTTTCGATTATTTCGATATCGATATCGGAGCCACAATCTATCACGACTTTATCGAATACCGTGCCCACGATGACATCCATAGTGGCAGCACTATAAGACTTTGTCAATTAAATAAATCATCATCTCATCCCATAACCCTTCTTAATATCATGAATAATAATTTTTTCTGGTTCAATCCAACAGACACACTCTGTGATAGCACAATCAGTGTGTAGTTAATGTCTCTGTTATGACACTTAGTTTATGTTAGTCATAGTGTTGCTCTCCAGTAAGGATTACAACCTGGAATAGGCATCACACTATAATAATTACGCGGTTGCCATCAACCTATGACAGAATTAGGTAACAGTTGTTATTAAAATTTATTATGACAACCTTTTGTCTATTCCTGGTATGATTATGATCTTCGTTAAATTGCATGATAAAATTTTTAATGTCTTCAATGTGCTAGGTCTTGGTCGGTTCCAGCTGGTTGATCAAGTAAAACATGCCACCAGTGACTTGAGTATGACACCAGCATTTTAATGCATTCACTATTACTCTGCAGGCCCTTGTAACATCGTTATGACTGCATTGAATAGGAGTCTGAAAGAGACATGGCTTCAAGTGCCAAAATACGCTTGCTTTCGTGGCGTTTTGGATGGGCCCAAGGCTTTTTATAAGAAGTATATGCAATTAAAAATGGCATGATTGCATTGTTTGTAAGAATTTATTGCTGTTGGAAATGTGGGAATAGTTGCCATTAAAAGCCGCATCGGAGGCAAAATGCCACGAGAAGACAGTGAATCTGTCAATAGCAGTGATCAGGTAGAGTGTGGAGACCATTGAAACATCTAATCTGTCAAAGCAGTGATCAGTAGAGTGTGGAGACCATTAGAAAAATTAATACATGTATGGACATGGTGGGAAGGAGACGCATGTTTACATAATTATGTTGTCTCAGTACAGTATTTTCATCATTTAAGCATAGTTTTGAATCATCATGGAAAATAAAAATTTGTCATGAAAAAGTAATGAAATGTCTAAAGTAAGTTTGTGTATTGGCCAATTAAAACAAAACAAAAATTATTTTGTTTCGCAAAAAAAAAATCTAATTCGTTCCACAAAAACATATACACAAAACAGAATATACAATTTATACATACACACATCTTGTCAAAACAAAATGAAAAAGATTTTTCACCTACCTACCTAATCGGTACCCAGAGAGGCGAGTAGGTAAAGGGGAAACAAACAATTTTTTAAGGGTGGCCTCATGAAAAATGTGATATGGAAGGTTGATGAAAATCTCATGGAATTTCGTAATGAGATTTGCATGTCACGAACCTGTAAGAAATGGTTTTATGACAGGTGGTCTGCATAGTTTGAGAATTAGGAAGTTATACTTATAATATAATTTATAGGCGAATCAAGCCAAAACCTGGGGATTGTATCAGATTAGCTAGAAGAAGGTAGTAAGAAGGGCTATATAGTTCTAGAGCTAGCATCAGATATGCATGCATCATGTATTTGTGTGCATAGATGTAGGCAGGCGCGATGAGATTATGGAATTTTATATATATAAATGTGTGTGTGTGTGTGTGTGTGTGTGCGCGCGCGTGTGCGTGTGTGCACGTGCGTACACGTGTGCACCTGCACGTGTTTTAATAACTTTTTTTCAATAATCATTGTCGACAGATATCGAATGTGTCTGTTAGCAAGCATGAGTATCTTCTGCAGATTTCTGCATCTTCGATTTTAAAATGAATATTTTTACGATTGCAGGGTTCTCCCCAGGATGAAATTGAAACAGGGGGGAGGGGGAGGGGGAGGGGAAACTAGGGGGGTCCGGGGGTCGTGTTTTTTACCGTAATGCGTAAAATCGCCACCACACCATAGACGGTATTTGGGGTACTTGTATATAAGACAGCCGAGTCGGTACAGTTTGTGTTAAGGTTTGGGACAGGGTGACTGTTTGTACTTGTGTGTGGTCTGCAGTGCATGCGTAGTGTAGGACGTTTACTCATTAGTGGTATCGTAAAAATACACGCGTCCGGGGGCCTGGTCGAATAGGAATTCTTGATGATCGATTCCCGCGCTTTCAAACTTTTATTGTGGTGGAATTTAATCAGGGCGCAACGATTGAAACGTGGGGGGAGTTTTCCCAAACGGGGCGGGCGCGCCCAGTTTGCGCAACGTAGGGAGAACCCTGGATTGGTAAGATGGACTGATAAGGGCCCATGGTGGGCGATGGTGGGGTCAGGGATTTCCAAAATTTCTGAGTCGTGTCTGGATTTGCTACTACTATTCCATCTTTCATAAATAAACATACAAATGCTGTTTCTACCTTCAGATGTCGACAAGTATGCAAATGTGAGGAGGGGCATTGGTGGACACAGAGCAAGCTTACCATTGCACTCAAGAAGAACAAAACGGAGATCAGAGGGTTGATGCGAAATTCAATGCCCAGATGACAAACCGCACAGCATCAGGAACAGCGCATTGTCACACGTGCAGTGAATGTGGACGAGTATTCAAGAAAAAGGCTGCATTGCGGCAGCATTTGCTTCTTCATACAGGTGAAAAGCCGCACAAGTGCAGCATCTGCAGCATGGCATTCACGTCACGTGCGGCTATGAAGTCACATGAAAGGTTGCACATAGGAGATAGACCTTACAAGTGTGACATGTGCGACAAGACATTCATACTGCCAGCACATTTGAAAAAACACATGTGCCATCACACGGGAGCAAGCCCATACAAGTGCAACAACTGCGGTGAAGTGTGCGATGGCAAAGAAAGTCTACAAAATCACATGGCGGTCCAGCACGCCTGCGAAAAACCAGCATCGAAAGGTAGCAGCCACACGTGCACAGAATGCAACATGACATTTTTATCGGAAGAAATTCTTGAAGATCACATGTTAGCCCATCGTGGGTTGAAGCAGTTTTCATGCCACATGTGCGACAGAATGTTTTCACGGGCTTCGAACTTCCGCACCCACCTCGGAACGCACGACAGAGGACCCTGGGAATGCTCGGTGTGCGAGAAACAGTTCAAGACGAAGAGCAACCTGACAAAGCATCTACGCACGCACGACGAGGTGAACGCCGTTCCGAAGCCGTACGTCTGCCGATACTGCAGCAAGTCGGTCGCGTCGCGCTCGGCGTTGGAAGAGCACGAGCGAATCCACACCGGCGAAAAGCCGTACGTCTGCAACCTGTGCTTCAAGGCGTTCGTGCAGTCCGGGGCGCTGCGGCAACACATGCGCACGCACTTCGGTGAAAAGCCGCATCGTTGCGAGGTCTGCAATTGGAGGTTCACCGACAAGGGCAACATGAGGCGCCACATGAAGACGCACTACCAGAAGAACTCGCGGCGGCAGAAAAATTCAGGCGAGCAGGCTGCTGCTGCCGCGCTGTCTCCGAACGAATTCGCCGGAGAGCCGGGCGAGGAGGAGGAGGAAGCAGCGTATGAGGGCATGGATGAGTCTGCATTCGTGAAGCCGGGACCACGCAGTAAGAAGCAGGCAAACATGCGGAGATACCTGTGTCCCGTGTGCGACGCTACGTTCCCCGTGGCGGTCATCCTGCAGCGCCACATGAGGACGCATCGCTATGCGGTCTCGCGGAAAGAAGTGGAAACGCTGATGCGTATTGACAACCGGCCGGTCAAGGAGGCGGATGGCGCCGGGGGGAGTACGGCAGAAGACCCGGATGATGTTAAAAAAGAGCTGAACGAGTCTGAAGCTCTCATCTCTGGTGTACAGTTGCCTTTCATGGCAAGCAACATGCTAGACACCACAAACGGTCTGGCTGCGGCAGTTAACGATGAACAGTTTATCGATACTGTGAACGATCACGCGTCGTCAAAGCAGGAAGTTGAAAATGCGAGAGACATGGATATACGAATGAATTTGGAAATGCATAATTTCATACGAGAACAAAGTTTAGTGTCTGCTTCGAGTGCTATCGTCATGGAGACCAACGTTCCTCCGCAAACTACACATCAGTTTCCAGCAGGTGAAGAACAGTCTCAGCTTCACATGAATAAAGATGCTTATCAACATGCCGCAACTGATCTGCCATCTAACCCGTTTAAATATTCATGTAAAGAAGCGCATAAATCTCCTATTAGTGATCTAAATTCTCAACTGCATTCAGGGAATGGGGACCCTTCAAGCCTCGCAAATCGAGACTTGTTCCCGCCTGGCAGAGATCAAAGGCTTGTTCATCACAGTGCGGAGCAAGGTCTGGTGGCACACAGTCCAGAGCAAGGTCTCATACCTCGCAGCGCAGAACAAGGACTAGGGCAGCCTAGTAGTAGAGATCAGAAGCTGCTACAATCTAGCACAGATCAACCTAATAAAGACCAAGGTCTAACACAACCTAGCAAAGATCAAAAGCGGCAACAACCTAGCACAGATCAAGCGTTAATGCAACCTTGGACGGATAAGGGACGTGGTTCTCTACAGCTTCCCACAGACGAAGCAAATGAAAGTGGCGAGTCGTCCAATCCGGACGATAAAAAAGATGGCAAAGGGTTTCCTTACCAGCTGAGAGCTAGGGAGAGTGAAAATGCGGAGGAGCTTGTTTGCAACACGTGCTCGGCTGTGTTCAAACAACGGAGTTCTCTCAACCGGCACATGTACACTCACTCAGAGAATAAACCATATGAGTGCGACACGTGCGGCAAGGCGTTCACAGCTAAGCATCTCCTCACCACTCACGAGAAGATTCACACCGGCGTGAAGCCGTTCCAGTGTGGAAGCTGCAAGACGACGTTCACGCGTTCGTACAGCCTCCACTACCACATGAGGAACCACTGCTCGGGGAAACCCAAACTCAAGGTGCCGAGCCACCTCTGCAAGAGCAAGGGCATGAGTCCATACTTTGCGAACATGGCGCCGGTCGACCCCACGTCGCCGCTGAGCTGCTCCGTGTGTCTGGAGACGTTCCGCAACCACAAGCGCCTGCAGGAGCACTTCGCGCAGAAGCACGCCGACGACGAGATGCACCGCTGCGGCCGCTGCAACGCGATGTTTCGCGACCCGCAGCTGCTGCACAAGCACGCGCTCACGCACGCCGTCGACAACTCGCAGAACCGCTGCGGCGTCTGCAGCATGTCGTTCGACACGTTCGACCAGCTGCAGAAGCACCTGCCGTTTCACACCGTCACCGAGATGCGGCAAACCGTGCAGCAGCGCAAGCGGCATCCCGCCGTGCTGAAGGAGATCGAGTTATCCTGCAGCCTCTGCGATGCGAACCTCTCCGGCCGCAACGAGCTGTTCGATCACATCGAAGCAGCGCACGGCATCAAGAAGGGCAGCTGCAGCTGCAACATGTGTGGGAAGACGTACAGCCGGCCCGACAGCCTCTACAAGCACCTGCGCACGCACAGCGGACAGAAGCCGTACAAGTGTGACGAGTGCGATGCTGCGTTCAGCCTGCGAGGCAGCCTGTGCAGCCACATGCAGACGCACACGAAGCCGTACGTTTGCCACGTGTGCGGGCACGCATTCAGCCGACACTACTCGCTGAAGACCCACCTGCCGATCCACGGCGACGACCAGGCGTTCCAGTGCGAGTTCTGCGGCACTACGTTCAAGCTGTACAAGACTCTCGCCGCACACCTCAAGGAGCATGCGAAGGAGAAGGGAGGCGGCGATGGAGCGGCGGCGGCGGCAGCGGCGGCGGCGGCGGCAGCTGCGTGCGTTGCCACGGAGACGAGGAAGCAGCGCAGCAGCGTCGCCGCGCCGACGGAGCTTCCGTGCGGCCGCTGCGAGGCGCGTTTCACAGACGCGGCGGCGCTTCAGAAGCACACACTGCAGCACGCGGGAGAGGACGCGTACGAGTGCTTCGTGTGTCGTCAGGTGCTGCCCGACGCCGCCATGCTGCCCGCGCACATGGCCAAGTACCACAGCAACAACGAGACGTTCCACTGCGGGCTGTGCGGGGGCGCGGTCGGGGACAGGAGGGCCCTCGACGAGCACGTCCTACTGTGTAGCAGTCGGCAGCACGCATACCACCGCGCGGAGGCGCTAGGGATGCACTCACCACCGGGCATGGACGCCCTCGGTATGAGCATGAATGGAATGTGCCAGGCGGCGGGCATGCTAGGCGGGCGCGCTGAGGACTTTCGACTGGGCAGTAACATGCCCAGTCGCCATTCCTCACGGTTCCCATTTCAGTCGGGGTGTGGGTGACGAATCTATAGCGGAATTAGTGTGGGAGTCGTTTTGGATCGTTAATGCGTATACCAATCCGTGACCGTGGTTATAGGAAGTTGCTACTTTTTTTCTGTCATTATTTGAGTGTTCTTAAAATGTGTGCTACTGTGTTTGGGAAGAATGCGAGTTAGTAAGTTTATATAGTAGTAGCTGTGCGCAGGTAACGACATATAGTAGACAACAGGACAACTTATCTCTATGAATGTACTTCATAAAAAGTCAGTGCTATTTTATTGTGTTTTTTTTACTATATGATGTTCGTCTTAGAACAATTCGGCCTTCTATGTGTATACTTGTGCTAAGGTTGTGTATACGGAGACTGTTGTGCAAAGAGAGTTAGCAAAACGACTTCTATTTATCATCAGTTGTGCTTCGCACATATTCTTAGCAGCTCTGTTCTCTATGGTCGAAAACGAAGAACTTTTATTAATTAGGTACATGTATATAGTTCACGTTGTCTTCATTCTTTGCTTACATATGTTACAACCGATTTCTACCTTCCTGTATGGGTCCACATTTGTCTGTATTACTGACTTTCTATATATAGTAGAAGCGCGTGCCTGTGTACTTTTCAAGGGAGTTTGTTAGTAACACAAATTTATATGCGTAGCATAAGTATTCATAGATTTATCTCCATGTTTTTAATAGGTAAGCTTGTGTTACAATTTATCAGTACTGTAGTATATATATATATCAGTGTGTGTGCATGCGTGCATATGTGTACTGTATATATATATTTATATTTATATATAGATATAAATATAGATATATATAGATATATTGGTTCGGTTGGTATTATTATGTGCACACTACAGGGCGAGTTTATGATAGATATGTTAGGTACTTATCACGTAATAGTAGATGCGGCATAAATAGCAATTTTACTATTACAAAAATGAAGTAATTATTAGCAAAATTCATTAAATTTGTGTAACAGGTAAGTGCTAAAGCTATTAAACAATGTGTTGTGATCAAATTGTCTTGTTTCAGCAATCGGTTTAGCTATTTAAGTGACCATGATGACAAGTTCAACATGGAAGAAACATTAAAATTGCCATTATATCATCGGAGCCAATGTTTTGGGGCAGTTTGGTGTTGGATACGAGTAGTGCACTTGCATACATATAGCCATATATAGCTTTAGTCTACAAATTAAAATATTTAGTGAATGTGTGTTTGATATATAGTTATAATTAGTGGCATATAAACGGATGCAATAGAAATGGTATTTTTGTAAATTGCTTTTTCGTATAACCTCAAGTTAGTTATCCTTTGAGAAAACCCTTCGAGTAATTTTATCAGTTTACAAATCAGATTTATTCTCCTTGTTTTCAGTTCATTCATTTTACGGAATATAATCGTCTCAGTGGGTTAATGTTACGGACTCACTGTGTGTAGGGTATTGTATATTTAACGAATATTCCTTTCTTGAACAAGTGGTTGACTGTACGTGATTACAATTACCTCAACCACACTGGTTTTCAATATCAATTACTTTTCTTAAAGTATTGTGAGACGATCAATAGAGATTGTAACCATATCATAATTATGCTTCTTGTTAAAATTAAATACTATGTGTAAATCTAGAAATTTACCAGTAATGTTGTACTGTAAACTGTATTTATTTTACATCACTCACACTCACACTGTCACAGTAAAAAGCAGTATTAGCCACGGCCAGCCAGTTATGTTCATGCTGAGATTCTACAATATGGTGGTCAAAAATGAAGTCCTTACACCCATTAGCTGGCCATTTACACAATCCTTTATTTTCAGCTGTTTTAGCAATCCCAACACAGTCATGCTGTGTTTTCATAGCTTGACAAACACGTCTCCGAACAGACTGGTTATTTATTTTTTAATTGATACATTGGGGGGAGGGTACGACCCCCTTCCACGCCTTCTCCCATCCGATTGTAAACAACATCCCTATTAAAATTTCTGGGAGAATGACAGCAGTTGAAGAGCATTTAGCATATTATTCGGAACTTGTAACACAGGCCAGAAATTAAAGCCACATCAAAGTTTCTATGGATTCGTAAGTAGACATAGTTTCATCAGGAGTACAGGAATCGTGTTTTTTGTAAATATTCATTTCTGGATGAATTACATTTTTTAATTAAAATATTGAATTTTTGAAAGGGTGCTAGAACAGTGGTGCGTTGCTGTGACAAAACTGCCTGTGAGCACTTTATCAGTGCTTGGAATAGCAGCCCGTCCGCCAGTCCGGTCTGGTGAATTTTGACAGGACTGGCTAATTACGTATAATAGATTTTACTATAGATTATGTAGTAGAAATCAAAATCTTCAAAATCAGGATAGGCTGTGGTTTCAGGTTTATATCTAAGACTGACTTTATACTATAATTGGGCAAATGTGCACATTTGAGAGCAAAGCAAATACAGTTGTCCACCTTGACCACTTACACCAATTCCTCCACACATTTCACCTTTTTCTTAAAAATCACCAATCAAAAAATATCAAAATGATGAAAACATTATATACCACATTATATACTGGACCAAAAACTTTAGAATCACATCAGATTCAAAAATAATTCATTTACCAGTGTATTGCATTATCATAGCCAGAGTAGAGGTATTTACGTATTATGAGTGTAAGTATCAATACCTTCGCGCAATGAAATAAAATTTACGTGAACCTGTATGTAAATACACTGAGAAAAGATGAAATAATAGAAATCCATTTTCTATGGAACTACACTAAATATTTTCCTTGTTTTAAATAACAAAACCAATACTAACAAAATTACAGACAAGCCAATACTCGATGAATTATCAGAGACAAAATTTCCCTGCAAGTAAAAACTGCCCATTTTACATAATCAGTGCATTCAATTTTCTAGTTTCAGTAGAGCAAATTCCTCTGCCATCTTTATAGCAATATCTACCGACTCAATGTTGGACCCGGTGGCCTGTGCAGCAGCTTCCTTACCACCTCCCTTACCATTCAGTACTCCGCTAACATGCCCGACCCACTCATTAGCTTTCAAGCCTTTAGTGACAAGCTCCTTGGGTACACAACACATGCAGAGAACTTTATCGGTATCCTCATCTGTGCTGAAGAAGATTGCAGCAGTTTTTGGCGAGAGAGCTTTGTACTGCTGAATGGCACCATCTAGTGCCTTCCCGACGGCGCCGGCATTGAAGCGGTGAACGACGACCATCTGCTCCGGTTTCGCGGCAATCATCTGTTTCGCCTCCTCGACGACCCTCTGCAGCATCGCAGCCTTGGCGGCCTTGTCAAGGTCGTCGAGTTTCTTCTTGAGGCCTTTCAGGCTCACCCGCATCTCGTCCTTCTTCCAGGCCTGGATGACCGACTGAGAGATGTCGTCGCCTAGATCCACGATCTTCCTGCTAGCGGCTTTCTGCTGCTCCTTCGTCTCACAGCGCGCGGTAACCTGCTCCTGCAGCTGCGCAAACTGCTGGTTGAGAAGAGTCGCGCGGTGTAGAGCCCTCGTCGCTTCAGGACCGGTGAGGCAGACGATGCGGCGGATGCCCTTGGCGATGGCTTCCTCTGACGCAATGACATAATCGCCGACGTGTCCACTGCGTCGCAGGTGCGTACCGCCGCAGAATTCGACGGACGTCACCGAGCCAGCGGGGCTAGTTGGATCAGCTTGCATGTCTTCGATGGGTATACCGATGGAAACAACGCGGACCGGGTCGGGGTACGTTTCGTCGAACACCGCTCGAAGACCTTGAATTGCCTTAGCCAGTGCAAGAGGGCTGTCCTTTGCGTAAACTTCTTCGTTTTTGGATATCAGTTGTTTCGCAATTTCTTCTGCCTGTTTGACCTGAGCAGCCTTCATGGCACCTTTCGCGCTAAAATCAAACCTCAGTCGATCTGGAGCCACAAGTGAGCCCTTCTGATCTGCCTCGCCTAGCACCTGCCTGAGAGCAAAGTTCAGAATGTGCGTGCCTGTGTGGTTGTTCATGACCAGCTTGCGACGACCTTCGTCTATCTGAACCTTCATCTCATCTCCGACTTTCACGGTGCCCTCCAAGCTTCCGATGTGCAGAATGTATCCGCCTCTCACCTGCACATTCTTCACGCAGAATTCTGTCTCTTCATCGCCAAGCTTCACCAGGAAGCCCTCATCGTATATTTGCCCTCCTTGCTCTGCGTAGAAGCTGGTTCGGTCGAGCAAGATGCCGCATTCCTGATTTGAGACGCTGCCCACAAACTGCTTGTTATAACGCAAAGCGATCACCTTACCGACGCACGACTCAAACTTGTAGGTCGCCTCCTTCGGGTTTTCGCCTTCGTACGTATAGCTGTACTTCAGACTATCGTTTGTAGGAGATACTCCTTGCTGCTGGAGATCACTGATGGCATGCACGTCCAGATTTATCCCGTCGTCGACTCCACCGCCTGGCCCCTGAGAAACCAACTGCGCTTGCTTTTTGGCATCTTCGTATTCGGTCATGTCGACCCTGAAGCCATGCTCTTCCGCCATCAACTCTGTGAGATCGACAGGGAAACCGTATGTGTCGTACAAGCGCCAGGCGACATCTCCCGGCAAGACGGAGGCGTCATTACCGAGCCTCGCGACGGTCCTGTAAAACATCTTTTCGCCGCGTGCGAGCGTCTTCAAAAACTGGGTTTCCTCGTCATTTATAACGTCCTTGATAGCTTCCGGATCCCTGGACAGCTCTGGGAAGGCGTCGCCAAGCAGTTCAACGACGACGTCGATCAGGCTGGCGAGAAATCCGGGCTTCGCCTTTAATTTCTCGTTGGCGTATCGGACAGCTCTGCGCAGGATCCTACGAAGCACGTACCCTCGCCCTGTGTTGTCGGGTGTTCCACCGTCGCTTAGTGAAATCGTCAGCGTGCGCATGTGGTCGGCAATCACCCTGTACGCCATGTCGCAACCGTCCTTGTCGTCTGCACCAACTTTACCCGTGTACGGCCGTGCTCCGGATCCCGCTTCTATGGCATCGAACAGCGCGCGGAACAGATCTGTGTCGTAGTTCGACTGCTTGTCCTGAATGACTGACACCAGTCTCTCCAAGCCCATGCCACAGTCAATGTGCTTCGAAGGAAGCACGCTGAGACACCCACTCGAGTCTCTGTTGAACTGGATGAAAACCAGATTCCAGATTTCGAGTACCTCCGGCACGTCCATGTTAACGAGGTGTGCTGCATTGCGGCCACCGATTCTATCGTAATGAATCTCGCTGCAGGGTCCGCATGGTCCCGTATCACCCATCTCCCAGAAATTGTCCTTCATGTTTCCTGGAAGGACGTGATCTGCAGGTACTCCTAGTTTTAGCCAGATGTCCTTGCACTCTAGATCTGGTTCCAATTGGGCCTTAGTATCGCCCCCAAAATAGGTTACGTACATACGTTCCTTATCAAGTTTGTAGACATCTACAAGCAGTTCCCATGCCATGGCACAAACTTCTTTCTTGAAGTAGTCGCCAAAGGACCAATTACCCAGCATCTCAAAAAAAGTATGATGGTACACGTCTTTACCAACATCATCCAGATCGTTATGCTTTCCACCTGCACGGATACACTTCTGGGAGTTGACAGCCCTTTTTAGCCTTGCCAGTTTACTTTTCGGATCCACAATTCCGAGAAAGATTGGCTTAAATTGGTTCATTCCTGCATTAGTGAATAGGAGAGTTGGGTCATCTAGTGGAACGACAGCAGATGAATGAACGTAGGTGTGCTGATACTTCTCTCTGAAGAAATCTATGAAGATCTGACGGATCTTGCTTCCAGTTAAAGTCTTGTCCATGATTGCAGAAACAAGTCTAAAATAAAAACAATGCCATGAACATTAGACAGCGACTATGGGGGGGCCTATTCATATTGTGATTGAGATATGTAGGGTACGTAGTTGTAGAATTGTACCATCTCTACATAATAATATTTAATCCATGTGGCATGTGCAACATCTCATTCGAGCAGTATCAGATTCATAATCAGGCTGGTGTTTGGAAATTTATAGGCCCCTACAACCATATTTTCATTTACTCAATACAGTTTTTACCGACTCGCCGGTTCCGAGCCAAGTGCCTGTGGCTGTGCTGTGTTGTGACTATGACCATAGAGTGTGGTAATTTTAAATATACTAATTAGATATATACGAGATACATACCTCCACACACAGTCACAGACCTGTCAACGACCTAGGATTCGCTGCTTGTACGGCACGGCACGTCTTATATATATGCGCCGATGTTTCTTGCCTCTAGCCGATTATTGCATCACCTGCTGAACGATATATCTATCTCGAATAATCTATTGCAATATTGAATGCAATCGGTGTTCTGGGTGCAGTGATGTAGGTATACCCGTTAGTCTGTGGCATAGAAATAGTATAGATAACTATTGGTATATATATTGGAATATGGTTATCTATACTATTTGTCTATTTCTATGGTCTGTGGTGTACGGTCCACGAGTGTACAGTCCCTGGTGGTGGCTGCAAACAGAAATTTGCATAAAAATTGACGCCATCTATGGGTTTGTAACATTTTTTATAACGCGGTTCATATAAGTATACCATGCATTAAAATATATGTGCTTTTTGTGATATACTGCCGATATGACAGTAATACTCTAAACATTTGTAAACTTGCAGTATTGTATCTGTCATTACATTTAATAATTTGCAAAACTAAAAGTTGTGACATGTTAGGCCCAAAGATGGCTGAACTGACGAGCCACCGTCGCCGTGCTCTAGGTCAAAGTTGAAATCTATGCCTATGGCTGCGACCGCAAATAGTGTTTGAAATTTAGTAATAGTAGAGCATATTACAAACCAAGATAAAATTCTTTTAGCGACAACGATAAGAACTCTATATCGCAGAAGCTAAGCAACGATATGACTACCCCAGTCATAAACGATCTTGACTGTAGCAACCTGTCAAGGGGCGTATGGCTTGTAAAGGCACGTGTGCTGTTGTGTAGGCCTACTAGTACTAGTACTACTACTAGAGACGATAATATCAGGATCGAGCTAATGTAATAGTAATACTAATACTAATAGTAATACTAATAGTAATACTATTGCACGAAGGGTCGTTGTCGTAACAGGTAGGCCTACTACAGATATGTACCCGAGGTAGTTTTAGGTTGTTTAGTATTATGTTTATATTTTTATATGAGGTACCGGTATGTTTAGGGTTAGAGTTAGGGTTAGGGTTAGGATTAGTGTTAGGGTTAGGGTACACTTCTGTAGTACAAGTCTGGTACACTTTGTGTATACATATATGTACCTCGGGTACATATCTGTAGTACCTGTTACGACAACGACCCCTTGAGCAATACTATTACTAATACCAGGAGCGTATAATGACAAAGGAGTAAGACAACGATTTGGTACTGATTTCACTACTTTTTGTCGTACGAGTTCGATGTGAATAAAAATAGAAATGTATACAAACAATGAAACATGAGCTTCTTTTGTTCACTGGTCCTTATTCTATCTTCCGGTAGTATTACAAACCGCGTAGCTTCCTTCGTTTTGACATAATTCGTACTTTTCGACGACATGGTTTTCACGTTAGTTATCGTCGTGTGGCGAGGCTACACTCTAAATTTGCACACACAGCTCTTTAATGAGCCACGGCAGGGATCGCGTCAGGCAGCGCCAGCGGCAACTGTACGCGGGCTAGAGATAACGGTTGCTATGCAATTAATGCAAAACACGTGCGAAAAGCTACAATCGGCTGGAGCGTCAGTTTACTCATAACGATTCATACACATCATTCCTCCGCGGGTGAAGTAGTTCAGATATTTTACCAGCGCAGCGTTTATTTAAAAAAAAAAAGCGGGATTAAACGATAAAAACAAGGCATTCTAACTATAGTTTAAATGTAAAATAGTTTAATAGTTTAAACCCCGCATGGTTGCAACGTAACTTAATTTCTAGGCGAATTTTCTGCACTCGACTAGGCTACGGCCAAAAAGCCCTACCGTGGCTCATTGAAGAGCTGTGTGTGCAAATTTAGAGTGTGGCCTCGCCACACGACGGTAACTAACGTGAAAACCATGTCGTCGAAAAGTACGAATTATGTCAAAACGAAGGAAGCTACGTGGTTTGTAATACTACCGGAAGACAGAATAAGGACCAGTGAACAAAATAAGTCATGTTTGTATACATTTCTATTTTTATTCACATCGAACTCGTACGACAAAAAGTAGTGAAATCAGTACCAAATCGTTGTCTTACTCCTTTGTCATTATATGCTCCTGCTAATACTAATACTAATAGGCCTAGTAATAATGACAAATTGTGTAAATTGTAATAATGACATTGTCATTTGTCATTATTAGCTCCTGATAGTATGAATGTGACGTTGTCGTTGGTAATGACTAATGTTACGTCGATATAGAATACAGATGTTATGACATTAATATTATTATTAATAATAATAAATCTGGTTCAAGGATAGAGAACATGGGTCCCAATAAAACCAATGTCATTTACATCAATATAAATATAATATTATATCAATATAATAGGTTAGGGTTATGGTTAGGGTTATTGTTAGGGTTAGAATTAGGGTTAAATTAGGGTTAGGGTTAGGCACATTGGTTTTATTGGGACCCATGTTCTCTATCCTTGGGCCGTTAGGGCCAGGGTTAGAATTAGGGTTAGGGTTAGGCACATTGGTTTTATTGGGACCCATGTTCTCTATCCTTGGGCCATAAATCTAGCCCGACTAGGCTAGTTAAGTGTTTTACGTCATAGGAAACTGGCACGCCTCCATACGAAAAACCTTGTCGGTTTGTGGCTTGAAAACAAACGCTGAGTTTCGTTGATTAAACGCAGTGGCTGGAGGTAGGCCTACGGTAGCCGTCATTCGTTGAAGCCCCTTTTTGGCGTTAGGGTTAGGTTTAGGGTTAGGGTTAGGGTTCTAGCTCATCTAAACTCTCAAATCGTAAATTTATTTCCCAAGGCGTTATTTCGAAATCTGGCGCCACCGCCGCTATCTTTGTCTCGTTAAGTATGAAAGCGAATGGACTCCCGTACCCGTAGCCTCGAGACATTAAGATACGGCTACCGTACCCGTAGCCACTGCCTTTATTAAAATAAAGCAATACGTATCGTATTACCACTTCACTTCACACTTGACTTCTTACATCATCATGATCACATGATCATAATATACATGTTGCAAGTGAAGTGTGTTCTCACTAGATCAATAAATTGTGGTTATTGTGCCCTAAAATTTTTAATATTCTGATGTTATTTTAGGGCCCAATAGCCTTCCATAGACAAAACCTGTGAATTCTGTCGTGCAAAATGCACGACAACCTTTTCACTATTTACGGTCGTGTTACATAGAAAATCAAAGAAATACCTAAAGCCGTCACTTTATTAACATCTTACCTACATTACAAAATACTTGTCATGCAGTATTCTCCTCTTTAATCACGTTTATTTTATTAAAACATGACGTAAAAATCACGCAAACTTCGCTACACACAAAACTGCCAATCTTGCATTGAACCGCACAAGGACATTTCTCACCGGCCAATGAAATCATCGCTGTGACACTGTCCGGTGCGGTTCAATGCAAGATTGGCAGTTTTGTGTGTAGCGAAGTTTGCGTGATTTTTATGTCGTGACGTTTTAATAAAATAAACGTGATTAAAGAAGAGAATACTGTATGACAAGTGTTTTGTAATGCAGGTAAGATGTTAATAAAGCGACGGCTTTAGGTATTACTTTGATTTTCTATGTAACACGGCCGTAAACAGTGAAAAGGTTGTCGTGCATTTTGCACGACAGAATTCACAGGTTTTGTCTATTGGGCTGCTATTGGGCTGCTATTGGGCCCTAAAATAACATCAGAATATAAAAAATTTTAGGGCACAATTTATTGGTCTATGTTTTCACGTGACATATGTCATGGCACATTTCCTAACTGGTATTCGCCTCGGTATTCATGTTATAATCTGGGGCTCGTTGTCAGAAACAAAATTAGTCTTAACATTAGTCATAACATTAACTTCCACTCGTAACCGTTGACAGAAACATCGCAACGTTACGAGAATGAAAAATCCTTGAAAATATCCTCTTAACATTACGAGAGCCGAGACCTTCTCGTAACTTTAATATTAAGTTGAAAATAACACATTTACACTACGAATTACAATTATAGTGATATTATATTTTATAATCATGAATAAAATGTGTGTTTTTCTTGAAAAACACGTCAAAATCATTAATTATCTACCGATCATAAAACAAAACAATACATTTACGAATGGCGTATGGCATTTGTTCTCTTGTTTTAAATATTTGCCACGCTTGCCACGACTATCGCGTCTCGTGTGACAGTGTGAGAATTTGTCTTGTTGTGCAGAATAATCAATAAATTCATCACCACATTGTTTTTCATCAAATATTATTTATATGTGGTTAGCCATCATAATATGCATAAATTACTGTGATGTACAATAAATGTGTATGAATTTGAATTTTGTGATCGATTCTCATCCAATCAGCAGACTTGTGATGAAGTTCCTGTTATCGTAAGTTTTCTAATAGCTGCGATCACTGGCAGCAAGAACAACGCTCCACAACGCTCTGTCAACGCTCCTCTCGTACATTAACATTAGTCGAAACATTAGCATTAACTTTACGATGTTTTTGACAACGGGCCCCAGGCAAATTGGAAAGATGCTAAGTTTTTAGCTCACCTTGACATCGTCAAGCTGAGCTATTGCCATGGGTCAGAGTCCGTCGTACAAACGTCCGTCCGTCAACATTTCGATACGGTCAACGATAACTCAGGAACCGTTTGGCCCACATGTTTGAAATTGGGTATAGTTGTTACTGCTATGCTCCCATATTAAACGTCCTATTTTGGAGCACGCCAGTCGACGGACTTTCGAGCCACGGCAATTTTGTTGGACAAAAATGGGAATTGCCATTAGTCAGTTCAGGTTCAACGGATTTTGCTCATTTTTGGTATGTGAATGAATAAGGGCTAGGGGTTTTGATATTAAATTTTTTTTTATGCAAATTAGGTAGGGTTTGGCAATTATATAGCATATTATATAGACACAAACAGTCTGTGGTGTCACACTCGTCTGGTTCGTTTTACAAGATTTCATTGACAATATCTTTAATGCAAAATTAATATTTCCTCTCCACCCTGCCGATAAAACGTCTATATTAGAGTAAAGTTTTACAAAACATGTCGGAACGCAGCATTACCTATTTATTTCAAACGCCATCGCTACAAAGCGGGTATAGCGCCATCTATGGTCACAAATTGTGATTCATTTTGGTTTATAAATTATTGCGATATACAGATGGCAATCGTTTCTATAATGTACGTCGATGGTTGCTCAATTAAAACTGACTTCTTCTTACTCACTCATTTGTGTCCTTTTTTGTGGTGAGCTACAGTGTCATTGACACTTTCATTGAAAGTTGGCAAGCTCCGTACCGGGGTACTTGCATTACAGCGCATGCGCGAGAACTGATGAGAGTGCAAAAAAAATCATGCCGACGTCCAACGATGATGGCTGCCTTGTTCGAATTTCTCCTTCCTAGATATTATCTAGCCACAAGTTACCTTCTCGCTTTCACTGTGGTGAGATAAGATAGAAATTCTCGCTGTCTGGGTTGCACATGCTTTCAAAACAGAAGCTAATTCGTGACATCTCATAAAGTCTCTAACATGCCTTAATTCCCACCTGTCTGCTTTAAATGATGCTAAGGCCAAAACAAAATATAGGTGTGGTTACGGTTTCTCGACCGACCCTATTTATTCCCAGCGACCCTAAACATTTTATTGTCAATTTTCTTTAAAGTAAAAAAAAAGACACAACGCACATCCTTCGGACATGGTTCGTAAATAAAATATTTCAAGAAAATAAAATGTTTTCCCTACCTACCTACCCTATGTTTTTCGGCATGTAACGGTAACCACACATATATTTTGTTTTGGCCTAATTCACACTCGCGATGTATTTTTAGCTCATCTGACGTAGTCAGATGCAGCTTGTAGAATCGCATGATCGTCCGTCCGTCCGGTCGTGCGTGCGTCAACAGTTGGGCACAAATCTTAACCGCTCGACGTCGAGCTGGGGGTCAAAGGTCAAAGGTCAGGAGGTGTAAAAGAAGGGGGAACATTCCCTCCTTAACTTGAGGTATAGGGAGGAAATGCAGAATTGCGGCACAAATCTAAACGGCTCGACCTAGGCTCGTGATAGTCGGTGTATAGCATCATGGTAAGAAAAGCCATCACTGTGCCGAAATTGGAGGTCACAGGTCAAAGGTCAATGTGGCACAGGGCAGATTTTAGACATTTTCTGAGGACATAGTCTGAGAGCGATTGAAAAACTTTTTTGTTTCAGGGGTGACCTAGCATTTTTATGGCTTTATTGAAAGGATCATGAAATGTACTTTCTGCTGACATGCGAAGAGTAAGTGTCGGATAATCTTTTGACCCTCAAGAGGAGGGTTAAACATGGATTTGTATACTGTTAGAAAGAATTGGACTGCCGGGTTTGCTAGTAGAATCTATACATGCCTGGACGTATGAGGCTACAATGTCACAGTGAAATTTCAAAAGCTAAATCTTGCTGAAGAAGGTTTATGCCCCTTAAATCGTATAATTTCTATGGCATTCTGTACTGTCAGTGTGTTACATGTAACTTATGCCACTGCCAGTGGCCACTGTCAGTGCATGTGGTGGTGATAGTACTGTGTAGTTTTTGCCTGCGTTAATTAGTTAGAGGTGGCAGCTCTCTATTTCAGCCTGTAGGCTTGCGTAGGTAAATAGATGAGTGCTTACCTATTCTGTCTTGCAAATAGTTGTTGCTACTAGTAACTACGTACGATGGGAGCTTCCATCTTTAATCTTAAGACACTTAAACGTATGCGCCATCTCGTGGCAACTTTCATAACGATTCCAACGAACATTCCTTTGAGAAGGTTCCTGATACCATCCCTGTGCCTTCCACTGTTTCGGCGCGTATGTGAACACATTTGGGACTAACAGGGTTTACTAGAATCCCACCACTCCACCACCAAGTCACCGCAGTAGACGTTAGATGAGCGCTGTCGCTCTGCGGCACTTGTTGTAATTAACTGAGTGTACCTGTGTAATGGGGCCAGTTGTAAAATGCGTGATTGAATCCAATCAGACGAATCAGACCCATTGACGGCCAACACAATCATTCAATGACTCATGGAATCATTTCAGGCGGTGTATACTTTAATATATATTATTAATTTTAACTGATTTTCCTACAGGTTCCGAAATACTTGTCAAACTCTTGGAGTAAAGCCACGGGTAACATGGACGTTGGGAAGTTACGAATAACGAAGTGAGTTCTAAGTGTAGAAATGTTGATGTTAATAATATATGCTATAGATCTAAAAGAAAGAATGAATTTTTTATTTGTGAAAAATTTACACAGAATATGGTTTAAATGAAATAAAGGGAATGTTTCTAGAAATTTGGAATGAACACCATATAAGGCCAGTATATTAATGTGTAGTTTAAAAAATATTGGTACCACATAATTCAATGTTGTGTTGTTATAACTCTGTATGTTATAATACGGAATCCATAATTCTGTAGTGTGAAATGCATACATTAAAACCATGGAAGATCCAAATATGAAAAAATTTGATTTACATTAGGTTATGTATCTTTATGCTAAATTATTTTTTATACTGTGTTGCTAGGCATCCAGGAGGTAAAAAACCAGAGATTGTTTTCACACTAAAGGATGAGCTAAACTCGACCAAACCGAATGAAGCCTGCCCTAAGGAACACAAGTTTGTTGTGTCACCCATAGGTCATCAGAGTTTGACAGTAGTCAGTCATGCACCCATGGGTAGGTTTTGTGTGTAGATAAAGATTCAAGATATGACATTGTTTGGCTTATCGTTTTGTATTTAAAGTTTTAAGGAACATAAAGAAACATAAGTGTAAAATGACTTACCAGTATGGGTATGCATGCATCTGTGTGTTGGGGGGGGGGGGGTACAGGCATTCAGTTAACTTCTAGCTGCTATTGAATCGCAACAAGTAGCAATATTTAATTGAATTAATATATATAAAAAAATATAAATATATATATATATCAAGAGCGTATTTAAGGAGAGCGTACAACGGTGAAATGCTGAAACCATGTTGCAGTATTAGTCGAATTAATAAACTTTCCCCATTTTATTTTGACGATTCTTTGCAGTATTATTGATCAGCTGTCCTACCTTGTTAATATAAAACAAACTGCATGTCCCTACGATGCCTCTACGCTGAGATAATGAGCGGTGAAAATCTGGTACTGGTGGCGATCAGTTTTACTGCGACTGTCTCTCGTTTTGTGGACTGTATGTTGCTTTCGGTCGCCGCTGTGTAGCGCTGACTCGATACGTTATTACTACAGCGTTGCTACATCCAGCGCAAGGGGCAGGTCATCACCATGGCGATAAATAACAAGACGTTTTTGTGGAGTAATGGCTGCGTCAATGACTGGAAATGCGAGAAAAGATAGTAGAAGGAAAATAAATTTCATTGTCAATGAATGACGGAAACACGCGAGGTTTCCCAAAGCTATCGCCAGAACGAGAGACAGTCGCAGCCACTACGTATTTCGAGTCGGTTTTCGGCGAAAATACCAGTTTTTCACCGCTCATTATCTCAGTGTAGAGGCATCGTAGGGACAAGCGGTTTGTTTTATATTAGCAAGGTAGGACAGCTGATCAATAATACCACAAAGAATCATCAAAATAAAATGGGCAAAGTTTATTAATTCGACTAATACTGCAGCATGGTTTCAGCATTTCACCGCTGTACGCTCTCCTTCTTAATACGCTTTTATATATATCAGGTGTAGATAATAGGGAAGGAGTGTGACTTCAATAAACAAGGGAAATTCGTCATTTACTAGCCTTAGAATTTACTACGCGTAACTCAACCAACTTGAGCTCAAATCGTACACAGTACATTCGCCTAGCATCGTGCGAAATCATTTCCTCGTATACACCAGCAATCCGGAGATACAGACTAAAACGTACGACACGATTATCCATTCTTTGCCCATCAATTCGAACGTTAAACAAAAGGCAGCTACTAACGCACTCTTGCTCAATCGGCGAGGCGGTGTGGCTCGCTGGGAGCTGCATCGACGCAACACTCGGCGAGATAACTTTTGACCCGGCATACAGCTACATACCGGCATACCGGCATAGTACATACAGCTGGTATGCCCCCCACGCACGCACGCCCACCGCAATCAGCAGCAGCTCCAGCTCCAATCTCCCAGCGAGCCACACCGCGTCGCCGAGTGAGCAAGAGTGCGTTAGTAGCTGCCTTTTGTTTCAAGTTCGGCGGGCAATACGCACGGATTGATGGCCAAAGAATGGATGTATAATCGTGTCGTACGTTTTAGTCTGTATTTGAGCTCAAGTTGGTTGAGTTACGCGTAGTAAATCGTAGATATTCTAAGGCTAGTAAATGACGAATTTCACTTGTTTATTGAAGTCACTCTCCTTCCCTATTATCTACTCCTGATATATATATATATGTATATATATATATGTTGCTTCAACTAATAACATCTTTATTCTCATGACAGATTCTGCTGCTTCGAAGACGTCTCATGGGGAAGCAATTACAGGTAATACAGTTTGACATTTTAAAATATGGTGCCTAATAGTAATACCAACTGTCCCCCCAGACAGTTGCCTTGCTGCAATAAACCGAGGTCTCTTGTCTGCCATGTATCTCTGTGGAACTCCGCAGCGTGACGATAAAATAAAATATCCCAACGATCATTAGATAATATTAAAAACTGTTCAATAATAAATAGCAGACCTGTGAGTAATTTTTGGGAGGGGGATGGGTAATTATCCGTAAGGTGATTGTCCAGGGGGTATTCGTCCATGGGGTGATTGTGGGTAATGTTGTCTTGGGGCAATTGTCAGGGTTTTGCTCCCTATGACAGGATAGCCAGTCCCATAGTCTAGACATAGATAGTCTCGCATAGATAGTCGCTGCAGCGACACATGCTCCAGGTAGCAGTTGTCTCTCCGACGATCCACGTCGTACACCACTACTCTCTTTGCTATGGCGACCCACGCTCCACGTAGCAAACTCCTGGCTCACCGACGACACACACGCTACAACTCTCGTCTTCTCGCTATGGCGACCCACGCTCCACGTTGCACGTCCGTCTCTCCGACGACCCCACTTGTCTCTGTCCGGGTGTAGTGGTGGTGGTGGTGGTGGTGGTGGTGGTGGTGGGGGGGGGGGGGGGGGGGGGGGGGGGGGGGGGGGGGGTAATTGTCTTAGGTGTAATTGTCCGGGGGGGGGGGTAATTTTCCAGGGTGTGATTGTCTGGACAGTGAGAAATTTTCTGCCTGAGAGGTATCTGTCCAGGGAGTATTTGTCCCAGAACCATAAAATATTACATACACTTAAATTTTTGGTGTGCATTTAATATTTCTAGAAAATCCTACTAGGTGGCATTAGGGTAATGAAACTGAAATATGTATTTAGTAGAATCTTGGAGTAATCATTCTGTCAGAATGATTATTCCAGGGTAGAATGTAATTGTCACTGACCAAATTAAGTGGTGTACCATAATCGTTGTCATGAAAATTTTTCGAGAAATAGATTTCGTCTATAGATTATAACAATATTCCACATTCCATTATCTAAAATTATGAAATTATAGCAAGTTGTTTGTTTCACTCTGTTTACTTTTGTTTCTGATAATGGTTTAATGCATTTTAAGGTGTTGTGCATTGAAAAAAATCATGCAAGATTACGAAAATTAATTAAAAAAATGAATGGAACTGTGAAAATGAATATTATCTTGAGGTTCTGTAAGTTGTGTTTTCGGAAGACTTATGGGAAGTTATTTGTTAATTCCTTTCTTCAGTACAGACTTTTGGTTAGAAACTTGAGCTGTTAACATCATCATGGTATACACGAGATTGCATAAACCCATTTGATAAGATTATACAAAAAGTACAATTAAGTTAAGTAATTAGGAAATAAGCTTTGTTTTTCTCAATTATCTCTACTGCATTTTTGTTTCGTAAGTTTTGTAGTTTATATAATTTATCCACTTAAGCGAGCTTTTTAAAATGCAAACGTACATCTGCATCTAGCGACAGCAGAACTCGGCTTGCTTGCATACTGTTTTGGTCGCTGTTCGGTTTTAATCCACTGAAAATAATTATCTACTGAATATGATACATAATTCTATTTGCGTTAGCAACATTACTCTTGTGCTGTCAATATTTTATAGGAAGGTTCTTATATTTCCAGCATTAACAGTTTCATTATACTGTGTTTCGCAAGCGTGTGATTAAACGTCCTTCGGGGGCCTGTGGATGCCTGGTAAACTATCTGAAGTAATAATCTATAGATACAGGCCAGGTTAACCAGGTATCATGGAGATATTCTGAATAATATCGCAGATGCATCATGTATTTGCAGGTGTGCTGTGAATATAATTGTAAGTGCACATTTGCTGTTTTCCCCTATAGATAGCCAAGACTCATAGCACAAACATATGTTTCATCTGCTAGTTGATGATTATACTGTTTAGTATGAGTATAAGGCTTTGGTCTATATATACAGTTTGGTAATTGTCATGCACCTCTCAGCCCATGCTTATTACCTTCGTCTTTGCGCTGTAGCATATGACTGAGTAAACATGCACTATACTTTTGCTCTAGAAAAAATGCAAGTTGAAGGCAAGGTGAAGCAGAGAGCTGAATGCCGCCCACATGCGGATGCAAACTACATGAAGCTGAAGAGGTACAAGTGGAAGCCATAGAAATATTCATGTATTCAGTCATCAATATCCGGGTGTATCCAATAAAGGCTCAGTATGGGAAATGTTATGGATATCTGGATAATTGTTAATGTGACAAAAATGTTAAATAGCATATTAGATGGGTTTTTCGTTTTTTAATGTTTGTCTTTTAGTAAAATGATCGTAATTTAGCATATTAGATGGGTTTTTCACAGCAGTCTTTTGTTTTGCTGTTGGTTCAGTCTACTTAATGCTATTTATATGTTAAATTATATTATGCATGATTTTCTGGATGTTTATTAACTTCAGGATACAGTTTGTGGAGGCATCTAAGCCAACCAGGGTCGTTCAACAGCTGCAAGGAGTAGTGCAGACATATAAGCCAGTGTCAAACCATGAGAATAATGTAAGTGTACAGCTTAGTTAATGGTCGCGTTGCTAACTGCTATAGCATGCGGGTGATGTCCCTATTTTCTATAAGGAATGGGTATATATATAATAAACAACATTTGGCTGAGGGCAACTGAGGCTTAATTTGTGGACTGAGAATCCTCCGTTGCCTGCGACCGAGGGTGCAGGGTAACATTGATTTTGTCAGCTTACAAATCTCTATGCTGCCCGAGCAACCAGGCAATAATTGCACTGTTCGAAATATAACTGGGAGTGGATCATGCTAGAAGAGTGTGACTTTGGCATGCCATAAGAGAACAAGGGGCATTTTGTATTTACTAGTTCTTCTCTACCTATGGATTATTATGCATTACTTAATAAACATGAACTTAGACGTTACCTTAAGCATCAGCCAGGGGCCTGTTGTCAGAAACTTCATAAAGTTACGATTAATTTTAAGTCTAATGCTAATGTTAAGGTTAATTTTAATAGCGTTGCCAGAAACCAACTTAAACTAAACTTACTTAAGTGAAAACTTACGATAACATGAACTTCATAATTTCATGTCACAAGGCTGCTGATTGGATGAGAATCGATCACAAAATTCAAATTCATACACATTTATTGTACATCACAGTAATTTATGCATATTATGATGGCTAACCACATATAAATAATATTTGATGAAAAATTACGTGGTCATGAAATTATTCTGCACAACAAGACAAATTCTCACACTGTAACGCGAGACGCGAGAATCGTGGCAAGCGTTGCAAACCTTTAAAACAAGAGAACAAATGCCATACGTCATTTGTAAATGTATTGTTTTGTTTTATTAGCGGTAGATAATTAATGATTTTGATGTGTTTTTTAAGAAAAACACATTTTATTCATTATTATAAAATATAATATCACTATAATTGTAATTCGTAGTGTAAATGTGTTATTTTCAACTTAATATTAAAGTTAAGGGAGGGTCTAGGATATCTTAAGTTAAGAGAAAAGTTACGAGCATTTTTAATTCTCTTAACTTTACGAAGTTTCTGGCAACGCTTTAAGAGAAAAAGTTAATGTTAAGGTTAATGTTAAGACTAATTTCTTTCTGACAACGGGCCCCAGGTCCTTAATCACTCAGCTGTCAACATTGATTTTCAGTGAGAATTATTGATCTATGATTTTTGGCACATGAATTCTCGCCAGCCATTTTTACAGACATATAACAAGTATATATATATATGTGGCTGTAAAAAAAACACACACGTCATAGTCGTCATTATAGTCTAATTATGTGCTTGCAGCATTAAAAATATCTGAAGAAGCAGTAGTATGGAGTGTATGCTTTCCCAACTTCAGATGAACTCATAGGGGGCCAGAATTTATTACAGGTTTTTAGTATTGGGCACCTTACACGGCTATTTGAGGATAGCACACTGGCCTATCGTAGGTTTAGTTTTACCAGAAGAAGCCAGGCACCGATTTCTCCAGCTGCAAGATGGAGTGTAATCGGGATAGAGTGGCTTAATTAATCAAAGACAATGTCAGTAAGTGTGGTGGGGCAGTACGTGGGGCGAGACGCGAATACTGAATCCCTCAACCACAACCTATGGTAATTACCATTAGGCCATTCTGCTTCTAAACGCAGGAGTGGGATTAGCTCCCTGCTGTATTTCTTTACATTTTTATTGCAGATTAAGTGGGATAAAGAAAAGAAGGAGCAAGGCAAGAAATCTCGGGCAGACAAGGATCAAGTCATGGATATGTTATTTAGTGCCTTTGAGAAACATCAATACTACAATATTAAGGATCTTGTTCGAACCACCAACCAGCCAGTTGTAAGTTTGTATTTATGCTGATTGTTTTCATGGTTTGTGTTCACGATTATGAATTCTAAGTTTAAATAAATTCACTTTTCTATCATGATTGCTTGACTATCAGCAAAGAAACTTGTTGGGTGCTAGCATATTGTTTTTAATTGTAAATACATTCGACTCTGTGTGCCCCACAATAATGTAAATTTTAATATGAAGCCAATTAATCATCACTTGAATCTTTTTCGTTTCGTTTCTGTCTCCTTTTATGTTATTTTATGTGCATTCAGTATTTTTATGGGTATCCTGGTTAGTTTCCTAACTAGTATTCCTAACTAACAGGATATTTAAACATTTAATTACCTCATTATGGCATAACCCGGCATTTTAAGTGATCGAATTTTTTTGGACTCCAATTATCGCTAAATAACGGGGTTTCACTGTAAAAATGTGTGTATGTATGTATGTATTCATGTACTCACAACTGGTAAAACTCTCATTTTTCTAGACATACTTGAAAGAAATTTTAAAAGAGATCTGCGTTTATAACATCAAGGCTCCACACAGAAACATGTGGGAATTGAAACCTGAATATCGTCACTACAAAGAGGATAAAGAAAAGGATTCCTGATTTGATTGTATATATTTGTATATCTGTACGTGTGTGTTGCGTATGTTTATGTGCATGTGTGTGTTGTAGGTGTGTGCATTCTTGTAGAAAGAATCAGGCTTCAGGCATATTATTAATCTTTCTCAGTATGTTAATCTGCAACTCTCATGCACACTCTCATATGGTAGAAGATTGATAGAGGGATGTAACTACATTGCTATATGTGCAATCATTTATGAACAAATTGGTTGAGTGGATCATATGGTCAATTACAATGCAGACTGTTACCAAGAAAGTGGTAGCTTGCCTAATGTTTCTTTCAGAGTCCATATAATTACTTATATAAGGAACAATGTAAAAATTTACTCATTGCATTTGAAGTTAAAACTATCATATTTGTTTTGTTTCTGTGAACATTGGATTTATGGAGATAGACGAATTATCATGTACAGCTAGTCTGCAGTGGGTCAGAATTTGAACTGGATGAATTTTTTGGATTTCAATTTGAAATTTTTGCAAGTTGCCTCACAAGTGATCGATCAATATCAAAACAGGTTGAGAAACTGTATGCTTTGGCAGTATTTGGGTAAGCAAATATAATGAGCTGATTAAATGCGTGAGTCATATAATCATCTTTAAAACAAATATTCCTCCGGTGTGTGTGTGTGCACTGTGTGTTTGTAATGCAGCACACTTTGGATGGCAATAACGTCGATTAGGAATTGAAATATTAAAGGTTCTAACAATTTGCTTCACCTGATAAACATAGTGGAGCCTCATATTATGAGTACTATTATCAAATTTAAGATACCTTTCCATTGCAGAATGATTAATTTTCTCATGTAGCCATAAAAGTTGAACTCTAGATGTAGCCTTGAAGAAACAAATGTGAAAGTCCCTACTTTCACCGTATTTTTCTCGAGTTGGCTGTGAAGCTCCAGATAATGAAAATTATTGGAAAGTGAAATTCCGTAGTGTTTGTTACGGTGTAATCACTGTAGTCACGTGCTCTCAATAACGTGTAAAATAGACCTTCTTATGAGACTGAGAGAGAGCAATTGAGATTGATAAAGACCCTATTTATAACGCACGTTTAAACATCTTACTCGTGTTTTGTGTGTACGCACGTAAGAGCAAAGACAACAAGATCGTTTTCTGTATAATTTATTCCAAAATTCTGAGTATTAAATCGTATTTGGTTTATACACATTGCTTTATCATGTTGTGTCTCTGAAGCGGCTAACAAACTACTGCGTGGCGATTCAAGAAGCTTCATCTCATCCGATGAGCAATGATTCCTTAACCTTTTTTAATCTTACAATAGATCATGTTCTAGCTGTACGGTCCATCTCATATGTTCACTATTATAGGAAATATTTTCTGCATTCAACTTATTCAGTTATACCTAATTATTTTACACTGAAAAACCCACGACAATGATATGCGCGCATTAGTCAATATTTTGTATACATCGTTTTACGGTTTCCTTGGTGGCCCCAGTAAAAGATTTATAGTGAAACTGAAGCCAAATAGCGATGCTTTGATTGGAGTCTGATTTTAACTAGAATTCCGTGTAATATAGCCATCGTATTCCTTTAGCCTAAATGACAATAGATATAGCCCGTAGCAAGACATCCAAACTAATTGGAATGTTCAATTAGACTTGTTTCCAGTGCAATATAAAGCGATAAATTTTTGCAACAGTAGGCTGTGTACATAGTGGTTCGTTACTGGTTGATGCTTCTCTTCTGGTGTGATGTAAGAATAACGTAACCGCAGTGAAACACAATGTACGTAAGAAGTGTATTATTTTCTTTATGCAGAAATAATATAAAATCAAACAGAGCCGAGAGCGTAAAACTTGTCTAATCGATATAGGTTACCCGGAGCTGTTGAGTCAGTCAGTCGACGATGACGTCAGCTAGTGATCACCCCTACACGCGTAATAGCTTAACCCATGAGTGTGATCTGTCTGTCTGTGCATGGTGCCAAGTAATTTTGCACATCCGCGTGACGAAAAGTAAACCATGTATGGAATGCCGTAATATATGTCTTTAATAATGCAAAATTTAATTTTGGCATGAGCATTATTTCAAAATTTTATTTAACTAAGTAGAAAAGTTATTATAAAATATATTTGTAAAATTATTGAAATATTTAGCTTATCTTAATGTCGGCCATTTAGGCGGCGGAGGAATGTGATACGGCCACCGAAGCACGCCGCTTCCGCCATTTCTACAAGGTGTGATTACCGGCAAGACAACCGGCTTCAGAACTTAGTTTCTCAGAATTTTTGAGACGAAGTAAACAGATATCATCATGAGTTGGCAGTCCTACGTTGATGAGCAGCTTATTGGTTCGGGATGCGTAAAGCATGGCGCAATTGTTGGTTTGCAGGGTGGAACGTGGGCAGCAAGTCCAGGATTCGCGGTAAGCTTCCCTGACATTGAACTAAGTTTCTATGGGCATTTTTCTCTCATCCGTTCAGAATCAAACTACGTTTCTGACAGCTCATATTATACTCTTTTATTAGAATTGCGCTGTCTATGTTTCGTTATTAAGGCGTGCACTACGGTAGTAGTTTAAGCGTTGTATGTCAATGTGTTATAATACTAGTATTACTAATACTAATAGTAATACTAGTACTTATTGCTGCCAGTTTGAGAGTGGCTCACTGGGACACCACCCCCTGTGCGGCATCGTTGGCAGTTGCCTTTTTTGGTGTCGTGTCACGGACCGAATAGAGTAGATGAATATTTGCCGTGTAAGTGCGCGTATACGCTGTACGCTACACGTGTACGCTCTATTTACACTCAAATCGGTCTACTAAGTCTAAGATCCATTATTCGTATCTAGAATTTATTATGTAACCTCATATCATAAGTGATAATCTTCAAAAGTCCTGGGGACTATAACGAAGATGGAGAGAGTGGATCAAGTCGGTAGATCCACACTGCGGATCGCAGCGGAAAAAGTTGTAAATTTGCTATTTACTAAGGATGAAGGCAGTGAATTCCAATACGGAATCTTTTCTACGGAATGTATTCTAATAGTAATATGTCACTTAATTAACGGCTGCTTATAATTCCCACTGTTAAAACTTTAGTATTTTATTAGGCTGTGGACGGCGTTTAATTTTACTAAGTAACAGTTTGTTAAACATTAGTCTATTACCTCAGCAACTGAATCATGCACAGTATCTCAGGGTGCGAAATTAACGGGAGTCCTGAGTCAAATACTCCTTGATTTACTGACGGACTCCCTTATTTGACATATGCAGGAGTCTGTGTGACTCCCTGAAAATTCTGCCATACTATACCTACTAACTATAGTTCGTTCCAGAGCACGGCCTCGCGGAATTACCGTATTTTTTCAGCAAATGTTCAAAGAAAATTGGGCAGACGTGTAACCGCATGAATCTTCAAAATAAGCACGTGTTATTGTTAATATCTTTAATTTTGAACTTCAGACTGCGGACTCCTTCATTTTGCTACGGACTCCCTCTTTTTGAGGGTAGGGAGTCTGTTGGACTCCCTTGTTTAAAGGTTAATTTCTACCCCTGGTATCTGAAAAACGAATAATTGAAGAAGCCATCAATTTTCTTCAACACCTGACACTACTCCATCACACCTTTGCGACCACAACGTAACCATCACACCACACTGTGACAGTATGCGGATTATATAGGCTGGATCATCATAGGACCGTATCATCTTGCACAATACTACAAAGAAACAATACCACCACAGCTCAACAGCAGAAACTATTCCTGTAACTCAGACAAAACCGAGGAGTATACAGTTAAAAGAGGGGGAAGCAATAACTGGAAAAAATGTAAATACCTGGGCAGTTGTCTTGGAACGGAGAAAGACCTCATTGAAAGAAAACAAAATGCTATATTAGCAATGAATGTTTGGGACAATATATGGCGTCACCATCACTCATAGAGCCTGTATTCCTCTACAACTCCGAATTATGCTCAATATCTAAACATCTTGCTGGTAGAATCGATTCTTTCCAACGCCGGCTCTAAGGAGGGCCATAAATATCAGATACCCTAAGAAAATTAGTTCCGTCGCCCTGAAAGGACTACTCAAATTTACAGAATGGAGCGAAATCATCAAAACACGCAGAATTAGACTTTTTGGACACATCATGAGACTCTCCACAAACACTCCTGACAGGTTAGCACTCCGTGAAGCAGATAGGAAAGTAGATCAGCCAGTCGGTCGACCAATTACTACCTGGTTGAGATTGATGAAGCAGCAGCTGGCAGACATGAACACCAACTGGGAGACTGCGCTGCTGAAGAAGCGAGTGATAGAGATCAGTGGCGAAAACAGTGTAGAGGGCAATAACACAAGGGGGAGAGAGATCAGGATGTGCGTAGCACGGCTGCCAGTCAGCACCTGAAACGAATGGAATGAAGGATCAATTTTCAGGGGCACTGCCACTAGTAGTAGGCATATACTCATACTATGAATGTTTTTCGTACTTGCACTAAGCTCGTAATCTCGTAAAGATTAGTCTTCAAAGTCCAGGTGACTACAGCAAAGACGGAGAAGAAAAAATCCAGTAATTTTTTGTAGCACTGAGAAAGCATTCTTTGTTGCCAGAATTCAGCATTCTTTCTTGAAACCAGATTACTGCAAAGTAATTCCAATTTACATGAGCTAAAATGTCACTCTAGTCTAAGCAAGTTCACAATGAACAATAATAAATACATATTAAACTTTATTTCTGATCTGTTTAATATTTTTTGGAGATGACAAGTAATCTACAAGACACAAAATACCCTACAAAATTTGCTAACCAAACCATATTTTGCAAAGCAAAGGTTATTTTTCTATAACAAGTTTGTTTTAGATAGCAAATATTTAGCACAAAATTTACTCATGGTGTTATGTGAACAAGCTGTGTGTAATGTATATACATGTGTCACATATATCAGGTTGTAAAATAATTATCTGATTAGTATTTGTGTGTCCTGTGATAGGTAACGTGAGTACGACAACAAAATTGAAGAATGTTCTGATCACAGTTTGTAAATTGTGAGTGTTTAATCATCAAAATTAAATATTTGTTATTTTTAATTACCAAATTGATAAAGCTAATGAGCATCACAGGTTTATAACTAGTGATACTAATGATAGTAATAATATGTAGGCTATTAATTTCCTAGTTGGGGAAAAAAGGGAACGAATAGCCTTGAAGTGCTACTCTAAAATTATGTCTTGTTTAATGTGGTGCCCCTCTGTGTATGTAGGTGATGACACATTTTTTATGCCACTCTTACACACCGGTTGTCACTGAAGTATGGTTTACACTTATATGTGCAATACTAATAGCTAATATATGTACGTGAGTAAAGGTTAGAAACCTATATGCACAGCATGTTATGCATCCACACCAACTATGTGGAAATGCCCTTTTATCTCTGGGTGTGGGTGCACTAGGGCACTGTTAACATATGCAAATAGGTAGGTAGCTGGGTAACGTTTTTCCTATCTTATCGGGAGTGTACCCTTCATGGAATTGCACTTGCCATTTGCCAAAATGTGTACATTTCAAGTGTAGTGAGAGGAAGCTAGTCGTCCTGCTGACAATTTGCTTTCCTGTGCTATTCAAGCCAGTACCTTATCCAGGGAAGCTACTGGAAATATGTTGTACAGTAAAACCAAAGTTGGTGACATAATGAGAGCTAGTTAGATTGACGTTTCTCTCGCGTGTGTAACCATGTTGGCATGCGTATATATGGTGAGGTAGCCAGATCACCCTCCCCCCCCGCCTCCTCCTCCTCCCCTTCCCTCTTCACATATATAACTACACCATGGCCAGCTAGCAGGCTGTACATCATGTGTGCCACAGATTCTAGTAGCGTAAGCGTGTGTCTATTGCTCTGCTAGGAGTGCTGGTGAGAGAGAGCATGTGCCAGGGCTGTGATGGCCCTCGCATGAATCATGCACGTGCAGGCTGGGTATCCAGCATTGCCCTGTGTAAATGATTCACACCCGTTAAGTACTACAGAATCAGTCATGGTGACGTCCTGTTTGTAAATTCGCTGGCAACAATGTCCGGATTTAAATTGTGAAATGTAATATAGTATGTTGAACAGTTGAAGCCATGTATTGATTTTTGTGCCTGTGACACATGCGGCAATTGCAGGGAGACATCTGTGGCAAGCTAATCCTGCTTTGTTTTACGTGAGAGTAGCTGGCAAATGATCAGTTAGTGACGTATTTGTACAGCTTAACATTACAACGAATAGTACTGATGTGATATGACATATGTGATATAGACGTGCAACCGCATGAATCTTAAAATTAACCACATGAGTTATTGTTAAAATCTCTAATTTTAAAACCCAGACTGCGGACTCCCTCATTTTGCTGCGGACTCCCGTGTTCAAAAGTTAATTTCTACCCCTGGATATATATTATTAGTTCTTAATTGTGTAAGTATGTTATTAGTGTAATAATGTCATAATAATATTAAGTTGCTGTCTAGAATTTTACAGGGTGGCTGCTATAATATCATGTAGATACCAGTAAAACAGGTAATAAATTTCCAAGTAAATTTAATTTGAGTGTAAAAAATGGACGAAAATAACTTAAAGAGATATCACACATTTATTAAGTACTATAAAAGTACATTTTGAGACAAAAAATTTATCGGGCTTACATGTTCCGGTGTCGATTTTACAAGTTGCACAGTATGTAGTGGAGGGACACTTGGCAGTGAAATTCTGTTGTATTTCGGCTGTACGGAGCAAGTCATTGGAACAGGATGTCTTGTCTATTATAAATAGAACAGGTTTTTCCCATTAAATCTCTGAGAAACTCCAGTTAGCCGGTTTTAAATGAACCTGTGTCAGGTTCAACACGTGGATGCATGCAGAGATGTCTAACAACCTCTAAATAGATTTGCTGCCGTTGGTGCCCTACTTATTAGTATGAGAGTAATTGTAGTAACTATGGGTTGTCTATGGTATGAAATTATGAATCAGTATACATACATGTACATAATGGTATGGTTGACGTTGTTAATTTTATTAATTTTTTTCCTACAGACATTTGAAAAAATGACATTCATATCTATTTAGTGTTTTAGTATGTTGGCCTGAAAAAATATGCATATTGCACATTTACTGTAGTCTAAAACATTGCAGTGAGTAAAAGAGATCCTTTTAAGTAAAGCTTGATATGTTATTTTAAAATGCAAAAATGTACACGCGATCCCTTTCCATCTGAACAGTTCTGAATCGTATATTCACCAATGTTGATAGCAGCTGGCATTTATACATTGAACATGGGTGTTGTTGCATGTTGCATCAATATAGGTGACACAATCACACAGCGCGGGTAAAAATTACGAGCGATTAAATGGATGACTCATCAGATTTCCATAGATATAACAGCATGGCTCTTGAG